CTAGGAGGAATTTCTTGACAGTGAGAACAATAAATCAGTGAAATGACTGTCCTCCATAAGTTGTGGATACTCCAACACTAGAGGTTTTTAAGAAGAGATTGGACAGCCATTTGTCTGAAATGGTATAGGCAGTGGTGGGATTCTAAATAATTTAACAACTGGTTCTCTGCCCTAATGATTTCTTCCAACAACCAGTTCACTAAACTGCTCAGCAAGTTAACAACCGGTTCTTGTGAACTGGTGCGAACTGGCTGAATCCCACCACTGGGTATAGGATTTCCTGCTTGTGCAGGGGGTTGGACTAGAAGACCTCCAAGGTCCCTTTGAACTCTGGTATTCTGCTATTCTGTTATTCTCTTTACAGCTCCCAAATTAGGGAGAGTCCTTTCTAAGACATTCGGCACACCCAAAGCCCTGGGTTCAGCTATCTTTTATTTGACTTTCCCCTTGGTTGTGTTGCATTTTCCTATCTTCCAAGGTCAGATATTACATATATCTAGAAAGAGAAAGCGAGAACAGAGCGCTTCCTGATGTAACAAGCTGATAGTTGTTCAGAGATTTATTTGTTAGCAGGAGTCAAATGGATTTTTTGCTCCATCCATTTAGAACATTAATAAAGCTATACGGATCTAATTTGTTTGCTCAAACTGGGTTAAGGTGCCCGTTGTTTGCCTATGTGCCTTAAAGTACTTGGTTATTTGCTGGAGCAACATTTTGACATTAAGAAGGAAATCTCATAACCTTGTATGCTTTTGGTCGAGTTTTAGATGTTGCAGCATGTGAGATCGTGCTTTGCGGCAATGAACTGTAGTTCACTTTGCTCTTTTCTGCGAAGGTTTGGTGAAATTGAATGTGATTCCTTTGCAATCTGCAACATCAAACCTTTGCAATGCCTTGAATCTGGCTTGTTAAAATGGATGGAGAGGAGAGACAATATCTCCCAGGCTCTCGGGAATCCATTATTAAAGAAGAAAAAATGCCTTTGAATTATGGATTTCCTGTCTGGCCGCTCACCGAGGGTCAGATTAGGTAATCATACCTCTTCAGCCCTTATTCTTAACACTGGTACACCACAGGGTTGTGTGTTGAGTCCCTTACTCTATACTCTTTATATGCATGACTGCATTCCCACTCACGCTAGTAATACTATTGCTAAATTTTCACTGAATACAACAGTGTTGTATTCAGTGATTGTATAACAGTGATTCATCTCCAGGGGGGATGAGTCTGCCTACCAAGTTGAGGTGGACTGGTTGCTTTCGTGATGTGGAGACAATAACTTGGTCCTCAACACCAATAAGACCAAGGAGCTTATAGTGGACTATAGAAGGAACAGATCAGACATCCAGCCCTTGCTTCCCAATGGAGACCGAGTGGAGCAAGTGGCCAGTTTTAAGTTTCTGGGTGTTACCCTAAAAGAGGACCTGACCTGGGAAAGAAAGAAAGAAAGAAAGAAAGAAAGAAAGAAAGAAAGAAAGAAAGAAAGAAAGAAAGAAAGAAAGAAAGAAAGAAAGAAAGAAAGAAAGAAAAGAAGGAAGAAAGGAAGGAAGGAAGGAAGGAAGGAAGGAAGGAAGGAAGGAAGGAAGGAAGGAAGGAAGGAAGG